TATATATATATATATAAAAATATTGTGAGGAAGGTAAATCGTGGGATGTGCCCTAGCAAGCCAGGGAACAAAAGTTTGCCCGTAAACTAGTGCCCACAAAGAGTCCAATTTCATATATTATGAATCGAAACCTCACACTGCGACTATTAGTAGGGCTGAAATTACCTCACTCCTGTCATTTACACCACTGGATTATGCCCGGAGGGCTTCCATGAAACTTTATAATTTGGCTATAGTTTGGACCCCTACCATCACATAGATTGAAAATATATATATATATATATATAAGGGTCTGTTTGATAGTACTAAATTTCATGGAAAATGTTATATCCGAGGAATTCGTTTTTACTTTAGCTGTTTGATACGAAAATGAAAATGGAGTTCGAATTTCAAGGTACAAACACTTAAAATATGTTTTTGGCCAATTGAGTGGAAATCAAATTCCTATGATTTTTGTGGTTTTTTCTTTTTTAATTTACATGAAATTGGTTTGTCTTTTCCACCTTTACAATCAAACGGATCATTAATGACAAGGTTTAGAATTTCATTTTCTTCATCGGCACTGCACAATGCGTGTTGCCAAACAAGCCATAACTGTATCAAGAATTGCATGTTGCCCCCCGAGACACAGCTCAACTGGTGGATCAATCAACATTTGTCTTTCTTCCAGCGGTAGGGTGGAGGTTCGAATCTTGGTGGGAACCTGCGGCCAAATTTATTTGGTATGGAGCAATCACTTTGGAGGAGGATCTCTTGTGCGTAGAAGTGTACAGGCGGTGGGGGGAACCTGTGATCCAGTTGAGGCATAACCCACGATTTAACCCCTCCAAGGTTCTAGAGGCAAGGATCTTGGAGGTCCAAGATTTAGTCTAGTGTAAGTTTGGATAAAAAAAAAAAATTTCATGTACTGTGCGATCAAAAAGATACTGCCTTTACATTTCACTTTTAACGATTCTGCCTTCTTGTTTTAATCCAACATTTTTTTTTTTTAAATCTCAACTTGTCTGACTATATTAATACTTTTTCTCTCTTCCTCCCCGGCAACAAGGGCTGCATGTGGCTCGAAGACTTGCAGCTCCTTTTTTAATCATTTTGAAACAGAATTTTATTGGAAAAAATAAAAGCTTGATTTACGTGATTTTATTTTATGATAAGTTTAGCCGATTCTCATTTTTTTACAATTCTTTTTTTTTTTTAATTTATTTTCAATCACACACTTCATAAAACCCATAAATTTTATCAACTTTTCAATCAACATTTCCTTAATTTATTTTTTTTTATCGAAATCTCCTAAAAATCGTATTTTTAGCTTAATCAAAAAGAGGCTAGCCCTGTTTGGAGAAGATTAAAATCATACTTTTAATAAATTTTGATAAAAATTGATGATAATTGAAAATTTATAGATCCTATAAAATATATGATTAAAATTAATTGTTGATTTTTATTTAAATTTTAATTCCTACCAAACAAAGATTGGATAAGGTAGATCTAACAATACTAGTCGGTATGCGAGGAATATGAATTCTAGCAATCACTTCTTATGTGAAGAATATTAATAAAACATGTAAATTGACTTAATTTATAGGTAGGATTAGTAGTCCTTTTTGAGTTCTAAAAGAACATAAAGTCAGTCCCACTATGAATAATGAGAATCTCCTTTTTCTTTTAATCAATTAATTCCATTTTAAATAATTCACAACAGAAAATTAATTATCTCGTCTTTATAATGTTACTGCAAATGCTGGCTGTTATAATAATAATGCAGGCTTGTAGCTATTTAAGGGTAATAGTAATACAGAAATGGGAACGAGGAATCTATAATGGAGTAAATTATTGAAATTTTTCATTAATGATTCGCCATTTAAAAATTAAATAAACAACATCTATAAAGATATATATATATATATTTTTTTTTTTTTTTGATATCCAGGTATCCCAACTTACACAAGATTAAATACTGAACCTCCAAGACCCATATTCCTAGAACCTTGGAGGGGTAAATCGCGGGTTATGCCTCAATTAGATCACAGGTTCCCCTCATTGACTGTACACTTCTGCGTACAAGAGACTCTCCTCCACAGTGATTGCTCCATACCAAATTTTTGGCCGCATGTTCTCACTCGGAATCGAACTCTCCACCCTGTCGCTGGAAGCAAGTCAATGTTGATTGATCCACCAGTTGAGCTGTGCCCCGAGGACACATCTATAAAGATATTTACTGTTTGGTGAGATGGTATGAATAATGATAAAGTTACAATTGTGACTTACTGTAAGTGCACAAACTATGTAATTCATTGTTTATAATTTTGGACAAACTTGTTAGTGTGGTTCCACCATCCTCCAAGTCATGCTGGAACAAGGTCGAGAATTGTGTGGAGTAGGATTTTCTTAGAAAATTAAATTATTCACTGTAAATTATGGGGACAAAGAAATGAAATTATTTGGTTAACGTTTTGTTTTCCATATTTTGACATTGAAGTCCTTTTTGCTAGGAATTCATTCGTCTTGTTTGTCTATCATCTACTATTCTACACACGTAAATGTATACAACTGAGACATAAGGAAAATACGTCGAATTGTTTAGATGACTTTTGAGTTTCAATCTCAATTTTAATCCGGATAGGTGCTTGTTTAGTAGAGATTTTGATAATTGATTTTTTGAATGTTAAAAATAAAGTGATTTCTACCTGTGAGAGAAGAATTCAAAAATGACAGTTTGAATAGTTAAATAATGGTCAAAAAATTGATTTTAATTGAATTAAAATCCATACCAAACAAGCTCTAAATGTGCTAGATTTGTTTAGTTTTAAGTTGTAATTATAATTTTTCTTCGACAAAGGATAGAGACGTAGTGATAAGTGATAACCTTCAAAAGTTTAAGGGATTCCGAGTTCTCAATGCAAACATTACGTTTTGTGTTGATAAATTGAACTCTATATCAATTTAAAACAAGAAATTTCTTGAGGACAATAAGTTCTTTATTATTGTCCTTTATATTTTGAATGAAAATAATAGATAATTAAAAATGTACAATATTTGCTTTGATTAGAATTTCAAAATATTTTCACCACTTTTCAATAATTTTGCATAATGGCCTGATCTTAAAGGAATTGGTGTCGGCCATGACAGTATATTAGTATCAATAAAGGACACGACAGAAATGGCTACTCGAAAAGAGTTAAATGTCATTTATTATTGGATAAGGACAATATAGTGTTCTTATACGTCAAAGCCATGCTTCTCTAAATATGTTTTTGTTCATATTTAATCGAATATTTAAACAATCTTTTAAGATATTTGTTGCACCCTGAAATTTACGAGGCATCATGTAAGCGCTTGCGGAGCAACGAAGGTCACACGGGCCTTCAAAAGATACGCCATGTGTCATTTACGCGTATTTCTCGCTCACTCAAACAAAGGTGTTTGATATGCTAGACTTCGGCTTCAACAGTATTGTCATTCTTGATAGTCTTCGAGCAGTTATACAAGCTTTGCCCACTAGTCGAACCTCTAGAAACAAGACATTCTAAGCAAAACACTTTGAGGTTTGGCGTTCGAAATGTCCCTTCATCTTTGGATTCGAGTTTCAGAGAGCTTTTAAGAAGAAAATGTTTGATAACAAAACTTAGCTTTTCCTAAAAAAAATTAGCACGTGATCCTTGAACATCAAGTAGAGTCCACGCTTACAAGGAAACTGAGAATGAATCAAGTAAACAAACCCGTTAAAGGAATTTACCACAGCCAAATTAGGACTCTAAGAACCATGGCAATATGGAACATCGAATTAGGGTTCCGCCATCCTGACCTAATTCCATAACATCTCCTCCTACAAAGTAATGGAGGG